ACCCCAAAATTGCGTTTCTTGAAATTCGACTCGGGTACCGATGGTCATATCTGGTCAATGTTAATAATGAGTACAAAACTGCCTCATTTCTTACTTCAAAATGCATTGAGCCCAATTTTACTATTTCCCTGTATTTGCAGATTTTGGAAATGAATCCAGAAGACGAGGCCGAGGAAGATGGTGCTAACATTGACCTTGATTCACAAAGGAAGGGAAAATGTGTTGTTTTGAAAACATCTACCCGTCAGGTGAACTAATCTACGAGTATTATGTAGATATTCTTACGGGCAGCTTGTAGGGCAAAGATGACCAGTTAGTTCAGCTGCACTAGTCATCTAATTTGAACTGTTGTCTTTCTTTCATTGTGCGTTTGGCACTAATTGCAAGAGTCAATTGTTAGGATGATTATTGTATTGTTGGTTTCTTCCAATCCCACCTGTTGTAATCTCGAACTTTGAAGATAACATGCAAGGGATTCCATGAGGAAATTTGGAAACTCATTGTGTTACCTGACAAATGAGTCCCAAGATTCTCCTTATGATTCATCTTTGTTGCTCTTATCTGAATGCTAATATCTCCCTCCTGATTGCAGACAATTTTTCTACCTGTTGTTGGACTTGTTGACCCTGACAAGTTAAAGCCTGGTGATCTTGTTGGAGTGAACAAGGATAGTTACCTTATTTTGGACACACTACCATCTGAATATGATTCTCGAGTTAAGGCTATGGAGGTTGATGAGAAACCTACTGAAGACTACAATGACATTGGAGGATTAGAAAAGCAGGTGAGCTCTTAAGTTTAAGGCGTGCACCTTGGGGCACTCCTGAATTATTTTCTTAGATATTTAATGCTTAATTCTTGTACTCAATTTTGTTATTATTACTCAGATCCAAGAACTGGTTGAGGCCATTGTGCTGCCCATGACACACAAGGAGCGGTTTCAGAAATTGGGGATCCGGCCACCTAAGGGAGTTCTTTTATATGGACCTCCTGGTACTGGAAAAACTTTAATGGCCCGTGCTTGTGCTGCACAGACGAATGCTACTTTTCTGAAACTTGCAGGCCCACAATTGGTCCAGGTAAGATATAA